ATTTCAAAGAGAACATTTACAAATGGATCAATTTTTCCAACATCTTGTTTGATCGTGCAATTAACTCATCATGCTACAAGCCATCTAAAAGATAGAAGGCCAAGTACTTCAGAATCATGCAGAAGGTTAAAAATATTGAAGGTCATTACGACTTTGGAACCTTTGCTCCCCCAAAGCAAACTACATCCGAAAAACAGCCTCTACAAAAAGGGGATAAACGGGCAGAGAGAGAGGACAATAAGGTGGTGTACACTGTACACCAATTTGAAGCCCAATGAAGGCTTCGCACTTCAAATCCACAAGATGGGTGTTAACATAATTGAGCTACTCTTTTAGATAAAGAGATAATTATGTACCCTTCGTCAACAACATGAAAATTCAAAACACAACCTCCTCCCCTGGGTACAAACCCAATTACAGATAACATATTAGTTAAGAAAATAGGCTGATCCCAGTACATAAATAACCTTAGTCCAATTTGAAATTTAAATACATTAGCAAATTTCATGCAAAACTTACTGCGAAAAAGATGTTTCTCCAAGCTCCCACTTGCCATGTATTCATAGACCAATAACCGGTGTTCGTCCTCACAGCAATATCCAATGAGCTTCACCAGATTAGGGTGACTGAATTGACCTAAATAGTTAACTTCGGTCTGCAAAGTAAAGAAAACCATAAAGCTAAGTTCAGTCCTGTACACTCTTTACTTGCATAAACTCCTTTCCACTCTAACCATCAATTCTCATTATCCAAACACCAAATCAAATTCAACTAACAGAATGCACAACAATAAATGGTCCATTATTTACTCTTTTCAACTTCCTCAACTCCTAACGATGGCAGAAAAACAACCAATTGCAAAATGCACCTCACATAACACGTTGGGATTATTTAGCCTGCATATGTTAACAGAAACAATTAAGATAGAAAAATGGTAATCGTAAATGTACTGCTGAGATTCTATACCCAGCGTTCACCCGTCATACTAGGTTAACTACGTGTGTAGATATAGTTAATAAGTGCTTAATAGAAAATGGATGTAACTGTATACAATTATCAATGTCTACCAGTGGCACCAATGGTTAAATATATATTACAAGTAATTAATAATGTCATAAGATTACTAAATTATCTAATATTTTTCAACTTTGTCTTCCAGGTAGTTGTGTAAATGATGCTTGTATTATACAATTATCAATAAGTATTTGCTGCGCTAAATGTTAAATATGTCCCACAAGACCACTATAGTGCTTCATAATTAGTTGAAAATTTTGTTCGTTAAACATGTGGTCAGGGAATGGATCGCAAGTTCAGCATAAGAAAAAATAAATAAAAACTGTTTAGAGATGAGATTAGTCCTTAGATTGATTTCAATACCCCATATTCACACACACAAAAAAAGTCTCACAGGTGTTTAATACTTTCATAAAATTATTGAAATATGTAACGGTCATGTTTATAATAAATGAATATTTCTGTGCAAATATGAATGTGTAGTCAAGACACAAGTAATAGATTAATATGCCTCTCTCAAGTGGTTAATATGTCACGACCTTATTGAAAAGGTGTGATGGTGGTTGACTGATCATTAAATTCATTTAACATTGCGGGTGAACACTGAGCGCACGTTTTTCAGCGGGAACATTACACTTTTTATTCAGATAAAAGGAGTTCAATGTTAAATGGCAAGAGTAGGAAAAGTAAGTTACGTACGAGCCATTCCCTGTCTCCTTGAAATCCTTCGCGATTAAGTTCCTTAATTGCGACCTCAGTGGTCTTGTAACCCGACCTCACACCATGGTCTATGACGCCTTTATATACAACTCCGAAGCCTCCTTCTCCCAAGATGAAATCGGGACGAAAATGCTTCGTAGCAAGCCTCAGTTCCTCGTACGTGAAACTATCCACATTGCTGTATCCAACACCTTCGCGGAGATCTTTGATGTTTATGGAAACAATTGGAGCGGCAGATTCATGACCTACTGATCCTATTTCAGACGCTAATTAACGTCAACCGATGAATACGACGAAAATTGGATCGGATGGAATCGTAAATCAGAGTTACCTTGAGGCTTTGGTTTAGCGTTGGAATCGGAGACGGAGAGGTTGCTCTTGTCTTCAATGCTAAAGCAAATCCCCATGAATCTGGATCTGGATCGAAATCGCAGAAAACTGCATTCACGTTCCTTTTCGCTTTGGAGTCCCCTACATTATTTCATGGATTTGAGATGGTTCGAGGGAAAATGGAACCAACTACCAAGAAATTGGAATTGCAAATTGAATTTGAAGAGAAAGATAGAAAGAGAGAGAGATAGAGAGGTTTGACTGAGAGGAGTGAAGAATGATTGATGGTTCAATGGCGTTGAGTTCACCAATGAGCGTAGATAGCGCCAAAACCAAGGGCTTCTCTTCTTCTTTCGTTTTGGTCCCGTCTCTGTTACACAAAATACCCTCTAATCCCATACTATTTACACCTTTGCCATTTCCGTTAGCAACACTTTTTCTTTTTATTATGCAAGAACGATCTTATTTCAAATCAGGGAAACTTAAAAAATGAAAATTTAAAATAATGGAAGTCAAGAATTTCATTGTGTAGGTAAGAATAACAGTAATATCAAGATTCAATTTCACTATATTATTAAATATATATCAATTCATTTACACAAGTTTTAATAATATACTTGAAACATTAAAACAATAAATGGTTTGATAAATGATTAAGTAATAGAATATGTTTCATTAATAATATTGATATGATAATTCCTTTTTGGAAAATATTGAGCACTTTAAGGTCTAGAAAATAAATATTCACAAAAATTTATATTTCATTACTAAATGTTATTTTATCTTAGCCAACATAATTTATAATTTTCAAATGAATATCTCAAATTATAATAGTTATAATAGTATTATAATATAAATAAGACTTAAATATCAGTCTTTATTTCTGTTTAGTTTTTTTTATATAGTATTTTTTTTCCAATCAAATTCTAATTTTTATCAAATTTATTTAATTTAATCTTTTTTATAACATTATTTAAATAGTTAATATACGTGAATAATATATGTTACAGTTCATGACATACATTTATATGCTATAAATTATTTAAATAATATTTATAAAAATCTTGATTGGAAAAAAACTAGGATCATAGAAAAATTTAACAAAAACGGAAATCAAATAAGTATTTAAACTTGTAATAAAATAAGATTATTATTATTAGAGATACAACTATTTTATTTTCTTACTAAACTAATTTTTTTAGAATTCTTCATTGATTAAATTTACTTTTTCTCTTAAAATATGATTATTTTATTACATTTACTTATTTTATAAATTGGTAGCCTAATGGTTATGAATAATAGATGAATTATTGTAAATTTTGTCCACTAAAATTGAGACGTTACTCATTTCGTGGTCCACAGATCCAGAGAAAATACAAAATTTGGCATTTTAGTATTTGACGTGTTTTATATGACTAACCGTCTAATTCCAATAGCCCAACGACATTACCATATTTCATTGTTTCTTACGGTAATCATATTACGTTTGTCACGTCCAGCATCAGTATTTATATTTCATTGTTTATTACGATAATCATATTACGTTTGTCACGTCCGGCAGCATGAGTATTTAGAATAGTCCTCTGAACAAAAATTGACAGAATTTTCTAAAAAAATCTTAAAATAATTAATTAATAGGTTTTTTATCTTAATATAATATAGTGTTGTAATTGTAGAGCTTAGGCTTTCATTTCCAACACAAAACTAATCTGATAAATACATTATAATTTGCGTATTATTAAGCCTATGCTAATGAAGATGATCCATGATAACGCTGACGTATACAATGGGTGCATTGAGAGCACTAAAGCATTTGATTTGTTTGAGTAAATACACGACGACGATACTCTCCCAGAACCCATATGGGAAAAATGTTTCTGTATGAAGAGTAGTTTAGAGTACAATTCCTCATAAATACACCAGTGATCTCCTGTAGATGGATAAGGGAAAAACACATTCATCACAAAGAAAACACGTAAATCGTTCATTTCACTTCGCATGAGATCAGAGTATTTTTCACCTGTTGGGGGAAGTCTCCATCTTCCATCTGTGAATTGATCAATAACCTTATTCCACGCTCTACTGCTGTTGGATCTATCTCAACCTTTTTCCCAGCAAAAAAAAAAATCACTTTTAACACAATAGCAGCTACGAAATTGAACTCTATAGCAGTAGCATATCTAGAGATCTGTCTACTGACCTGTCCTGCATCAATAAGGGACATCAAAGCCCATGATGTTTGAACCAGGTTTGCTCTGTTGCCTTCTAGATTTGTATATACCTGTTTGGAAAAGATAACATCTCATAGTCTTAAGTTTACTTTTTATACTTTTGTTCGAACCATTCTTGTGTGTTGTACAAAAAGTAATTTTTATACCTTGTTTTGGCTTGACAGGTAACTCTCACCCCATCCTCCATTAGGAAGCTGCTTTGACAGCAAAAAATCGCAAGCTTTGCGTAAGGCATGACTGTTACGGTAGTTTTTTCCACAGTCTGTTAACCCCTTTACAGAAAACCAGGTGCCATATGTGTAGCAAATTCCCCAACAACCAAACCTGAAAAGTTGAAAAGTTGAAAAGTGTAAGGGTTTGTTTGGCTATGGTAAATGAACTAAACCTTGTACCTTTTCAACCAAATATAGCTCAAGGAAATCAAAACACAAAATCTTATTTATTGGAAATAACAGTTGAAACAAACATTTGCTAAATAAGTAAACATAAAACTACTGATACGAGAAAGAAAAGAAAAATACCATGATCCATCAGGATTTTGTGCCTTTTCAATGTAATGGATTGCTTTAGAAATGCAATAATCGATTTCCTTTCTTCTGTGTTTTGGATATAACTTTCTAAACAGAGCCAGTCCCTGCATTGCCGATGATGTGCACTCAACATACCTATTTCACAAACATTTCACACAGTAAGCAGAGAGAATTGGAGAAAAAAAATACTGCATGAACAACAATGACAGCGTAATCTTACTCCATCTCAATGAGAGTGCCTTCAAAGATTTCAGTAGGATTGAATTTCTGCAGCAGTAGACACGAGTATATCTCTCAGCTATAACAATGTGGTGAAATATATATAACTCAGTTTCACAAATCAGAAAAACTCATTTTCTTACCTCTAACCAACGGTAGGCTCTTTGAGGCTCCCAAGCAGGGAATCCTCCATTGCTGCTCTGTAGTGTTAAATGCAGTTAGTATTACAAAATCAAAATTACAGTTAAAAATTTCACGGTGCATTCTAACTAGAGAAAACCACACCTGAAGAGATAGGATCACATTCACAGCATCGTAGAATCTATCATCTTCCATTTTCTCACCAACTAGTTCAACAGGCATTTGTGACAATAGAAGTGCAGCCTGCAGAGAATGTGTTTGCACCATGTCAAATTCTACTAAAAGTTGATAGACGAAGTTCACTTTAAGCATGGATTAATTCAAAGAATTCATGAAAAATAAGCAGTTATATTTTCTTAATAAGTTGGACCAAACATGCATTAAATTAATCAATTGAATTTATATGAACCTTTAATCCTTCTGCTGTGCAATCAGAGACTTGCCAACCCTGATCCTGCATTGAGAACGTCCATGCTCCTTTGGATATGTGTCTATGCATTGCTTCGAAGTCACCTGATGGATTTTCACGTACCTTCAATCAAGAAAATGAATGGTATCAAATTTCTCATTATGGTTCTGATTCTGAGTATTCTTCACGTTTATGCAAGCAAAATGCTTATTAACATGTAATGTAACCTGGGAAGCCTTCACGAAGTGATGTGCTTTCTGAAGTGTAGATCCTTAATCTTCACTCAAATCACATGAAAGGATTGCTTGTATGGCTAATGCTGCATCCCACAGTTGAGACCCAAAACTCTGCAATTTTTTCAGTGCATTAACATGGTGCATTGTGTGTCTAACAGTAAATTTTACTCTTTTCAGATTTTGATTATTCACAAAAGTTTTGTCCAAACAAATCCATGTAATTTGTACTGATGCTAACCTGAATTTTCAAGCCATCTTCTGCAAGCCAGAAGTAATCAGGGATTCTGGCTAAATGAAGTTTGTATGCCTCTGAGTTGGGATTTTCGACCCAACGTGCAATCAAACATAGCACCTGACATGTAGAAAATTCCATTCAGTAACCAACTTCAATGTTCTAATTGGCAATAATACTGTTATTTAATGGATTAAGCAAGTTTGTTATTAACATTACCTTCTCTACACTACCAATGCAAAGGTATCTACTATTTTCATCCTCGTAACGTATGTGATCAATTGCAACTTCTAGTGCCTTCTCTCTCAGCATGGAAAAGGGCCAGCAGTTCAGAAGAGGCTCTGCCACGTGATGAAGAGATGCCCATAACATATCTTGAATCAGAGGATGAGGGTAGTAGAGATCCTCCTGAAATTTCGTATTTATTAGAGTTTAATTCATACCAACATCAAACAGTTTCCTTAATAAAGACAGAACATCACTAAAAGTAACTAAAAAATTGCATCTAAAACAAAACCTTGGCAACCCTGCTACGGCATTTATTCCAATCGATTTGACCATAATTCTGGTTGTACATTTCTTCTCTTAGTGATATGATTAAGTTGGTAATAGGACCCACAAACTTCTTCCCATACAAATATGACATGGGCATGTAAACTAAGCGACAGTAGCATAACATTTTTCCTGTATAACATTTGCAAAGAACTTCAATAAGCAAATAATTGTGGATATAAAAGAAGCATCTTTCATCACCCTTTCCCTTCCCTGATTAAATTATACGATTATGAGGCAAGGTAGTAAACCTGGATGAATTGGGGTGTATTTGGGCAAAAGCCATATTTCTGGTGGGAGAGGGTTACATCCTGACCACTCATAAACTCCAAGGACCTGCATAATTCAAAATATACGTTTGTTCAAGATGTTAAAGTTCACTTATTAGATGATGCATACTATAAGTAGTAAACTATAAGCTTCACTTAACCCAACAAAACAGATTTGGAAAACAAAATTTGCATGTATAGTCTAAATTAGTTTCATCGACTACATTTATATAGTTTAAATTAATTTTATCTCTAGTCGAGGTTGGAGTAATATATATTTGTTACCGTAACCCAGAACTTTCCCCATGATGGAATAGCTTCTAAACCACCATGGTCAAGGATCCATTTTCTGCCTCTAGCCATTGCCCTATCTTCACCATCTTCAGGTCCTTCTCCAAGAATTCTCAAGGCAATGTAGCTCAACGCTGATCCAAACATTGTGCTGTGACCCTCTATATGGAATCCCCAACCTCCATCTTTGTTCT